AAAGGTTGTATAAATTTGTTCATTTCCATAAACTGAGAAAGAACAATAAGTTGGAGACATATAATGCAGTTTTAATAGAAATTTGAAATTACTTTGTCGGGCATGCAAATTAAAGTTGCTATATAAGAAACTTTGTTTTTTGTTTGATGAGTAAATTGACATGAATATGATATTTTCATAACATGATAACAAAAGATGTCAATCGGTATATACCTATTGTTTGGTTTTGCAAAAAAATTAGACTTTTTGAAGATTTTAGTAGCAATTGATGAAATGTTGATAAAAATTTCGAGTTCCATGAACCGTGTAATTAAAATTAATTATTAATATTGAATTAAATTTTTACCATTTTTTTTAACCAAACCAAACAATGGCTTAATTTCCAAAGTCAAATAATTTTGTCAAATGAAAAGTTCATCTATAACGAAAAATTCTCTATATCCTAAAATTCAAATAAAAATGTGTTTGGATATGATTTTCCACAAAATATTCTTTTCGTCAATTGGATCCAAAAGGGACCCAATTGAAAATCACTCGTCATAATTGTAATGGAAAGCGAAAAGGGAAACTTCCCTCTATCAAAATTCTTGAAAATTTATTTTATGAAAACTCAAAACCAAACAAAAATAAAGCAAATTCCATTTTGAATACGCAAGATAAAGCCAAACAGGTCGCATGTGCTCATATATACAATTGCAGCAGTCAGGAGATTTCAGATTTACTTGGAATGTACATAATATTTGATTATCAATTTCTTTATCTTATCTCTACAGAGAGAGAACATCGTCGACTAATCTTTTTATTATAAATTATTACAATCGAGAGTGACACCATGATGAGTAACATTCACATTATGGTGCAAACACAAAAATATTTCTCGGATTCTTAAAATCAATCCGTTTGATTCAGGGGCGGACCCACATGGGGTCATGTGGGGTCAAATAATCCCACAGGGTTTTGGATTTTTTTTTTTTTGCCGAATATTTAATTTTTTGCCTCAAAATGTCCATATCCTAATTCTATATCCATATAATATGATCCATATCCATTATTTAGTCCATAGATATATCGTATAATCCACTAATTTCTTCCCAAAGTGCAAACACTGAACATGAATAACAAACAACCGATTTTTCTTTTTTGTTCATGATACGTTGTTCGAAAAAAAAAATTTGACCCCATAGTTCGAACTGTCTGTGTCCGCCCCTGGTTTGATTGCTAATATGGAATTGAATTGCTTGAAAACGAATTTCAGGGAATTAAATTGTCTAAAAATTATTTTTTTGAAAATTGTAAATTATTGTGTTTAATTAGTATAATTTTTCACGTGGAAAATGTTGAAATAAAAGTATTTTTTGTGTTCGTTTAACTTTGTTTTATATAAAAATTGTCAATTAAAGAAATATAATTTACTGCTATTGGGGATGAAATTTGTTTCTATTGCAAAAAAAAATTAATAAAATAATCTATTTTTTTGTATTCGTTTGACTTTGCTTTACACGGAAAATTTCAATTAAAATGAAATATTTTCTTATAATAATTCTTAAAATATGTTTCCATTACCAAAAAAATAAAAATAAAAAATGTTACAGTAACCGAGAATTCCAATTCTCACCCAATGGTGAGAATTGGAATTCTTTGGATTCATGAAAAATTTCAAATTCCAAGACAAACAAAGAATTTGAATTCTAAGGAAAATAAAACCTATCAAACAAAAAAAAAAAAAAAAAAAAAAAAAAGGGGAAACATGGAATTGAAATTTCATTTTCCATGGAATTGAAACCGAATCAAACGGTGCCTTAGGCTAGGTGGAAAACTTTTTTTGGGTACAATTTATAACATTGTAAGTAATAAGAATTGTATTATTTTCCATGGTTGTAGGGTTGGATGGTTTTCGTATATCGATCAAATATGATAACTTCATTTTTAACCAAAAAAAAAAAAAAAAAAAATTAAAGTTTCATTTCTGAATTTCATTTAATCCTATTCAGATCAACATATCAAATACAATGCAAAATTTAAAATGTAGGAAATTAAGATCTTGTAATAATTCAATTATCATGCAACCCAACAAATAGACTTGTTCAATTTTTTACAAAATAATTACATAATAAAATCGAAATCTTTAAATTTTTATTAGTTAGTGTGGCCAAACTCAAAACAATAGGATGCGATGAGATTGAAATAATGCAGATAATTAATAAGGATTATTTGCTTATATATTGGTAATAATTGACCAATAGAGTAATAGTGATTTACTTTTTAATTGAGGATTAATGGCTCTTAATGTAGGTCTAATAGTTTTAATTTATGTGCCTTCTTTTTGGTTCAAGCCAAATAAATATTACATTAACCGCCATTGTTGCAATAATAGACATAATGAAGATCTAGTTCTATTGAATTATAGATTATATACATTTTGTCATTTAAACCTAAATTCAGGTAAAATAATGAAGGTCTCAAAAAGTAATCATATTTGAGTAAAATAGCTGACGGTAAATATATGTGATGGACATGGACAATAGTTGAGTAAAATAATTGACGACGAGTACGTAAGATGCACTTGTAATCATATTTATTATTGATACGGTTAGAATAAGAAATAAAGTTGAGTGAAGATATATTTGAATAAGTCCATAAAGTAAATTTATGTTCACAAGAACGAACGATAGAGTGGATGAAAACAATAAGTTCATAAACGAACATCTGAATTATTATTGATTCTTTAACAATTTTGAAAAATTAGACAACAAATACTTGTTAATTATAAGAATATCAAGAATTTGAAATTTAAATTCATTAAAAAAAAAAATTCTCGAAGATGGTATTCAAAATTTGTGGAATAATAACCCTAATCCCAGAAGGCTTAGTTTAAGAATTCAATCAAATCTTAATGAGATAATTAATGAAATCATAGTTATTAAAATTAACGAAAAGAACGTTTGTTCCTTAAAAAAAAATAAAAAAAAATAAATAAATAAATAAATTAATTAATTAAATTAAATTTCGCTAAATACAATGACTCCGATGTGTCGCTTCGATTTTTGCTTAGCGTCCCATACTTCTTTACGAGAAAAAGGTGGTACCATTTGTCCAAACTTAATTCCATTAACTATCATGAAACGTGAGATAAAATTTTGATTATATGTACATCAATTTGTACAAATTGAAAAGAGGGAGATGAGCTTTCGGGACATAACTCAGTGGTGCAAAGGATAGGAGTGAGGTAGTCTCAGTCTTGCTAGTAGTCGCAGTGTGAGGGTTTGATTTCTGAGATATGAAATTTGACTCTTTGTGAGCACCAGTGTACGGACAAACTTTTGTTTCCTGATCTGTTGGTGCACATCTCGTGATTTACCTCTCTCACTATACTTCAAGGATAGGTGGTGGGGAGCCTTCAAGGTTGAGGTTCAAACTTTTTTTTGAAAAAAAAAAAAAATAGGGAGACGAAAACAAATCTAACGTGGACTAATGTTACGCTATTTTTTTGATAGATGTACCAATGAACTAAATAGACGAAAAGATTCTTTTACCTTTGCCTGTTCACAGCATTTAAAATTTTACCTAGCACGAGAAAAAGCCAAAGAAATTCTGCCCGTCAAATTCAAGTATTTAATATTAATCGAAAAAAGGCAAAAGAAAAAGGTAAATACGAGAAGCAAAGAGGGACAGATGACAAAAAAGAGGATGCCATTTGCGGCTAATGGGAACTGCTTGCATGTGCAGAGCTGAAAGAATTTAAACCAGCGGGACCCACTTGTAATAACGACATTCCCACATGATATCTCATATCTCCAAAACCACGCGTTTTCTTCCTACAAAGTACAAACAACTTTATGCAAGTGTGGTATACTCGACGCGATTGAGGAAAATTCAACTTTTATGTATATTATTTTATACCGTATTACCTAAAAAAAAAAAAAAGGTTGAACTCCAACCTTAAGGGTTCTCCATCGCCCCTGTCCTGGAGTATCGTGAGGAAGGTAAATCGCAAGTTATACTTCCAAGGGTACAGGGTGGAAGACTGATTGTACACTTGCACTTACCCAAGAGCCAAATCCATATTTCAGGATTCGAACCCTTGACGCAGCAGTCTCAAGCAAAGCTGGATTTCTCCACCCTCCCCTTTTACCACTTGGAGATGTACCCTGGAGACATTTTATACCGTATTATCTAATATAATGTAATGAACATGTTAGTTTTTGCTCTCAACAGCCATTAAATGTAATATATCTAGTATTGGAAAAGATTATGGCCTATTTGCTATTGATTTTTAGAATCAATTTTTTGATCGTTAGAGAGAAAAAGTGAATCCTACTTATGAGTGAAGAAGTCAAAAATAACGGGTAACCATGTTAAATACCGATAAAAAAATTGATTTTTTGACTTGAAAAATGAGAACCAAAAGAGGGTTAAAGGATAAGCCGAAGATAAAATCTTGTACATTCTTTTGTAAAGAATTGTTCAATATCATGAATTAGATATGACATTTGTGATTTATATCTTAGCTGTTTCTTGCTCTCAATAGCCGTAAAAGTGTTTAGTTAACTACAGCACGCCTCTGGGCACCATCAAGCCTAAATAAGCACGTTTGATATATTAGATCGTATATTACTGAAAAAAGATTGAAGGATTAAGAGGAATTAAAATCATGTATATTTTCTTGCACAATGCTATTCAGCCCCTGTTCGGCCCCCGTTTTTGGTAATGAAAATGGGAGAATAGTGTTTTATTGAAAAAATGAATGGTTGAAAAAGAAGGAAAATTTTTCGATTTACATGTAATATTATTTTATGAAAAATTATGTAATTGAAAATAGGAAAGAGAAAAATAGAATGTAATTTAATGGGGATCAAACAGGGGCTCCGTATCATGTGACGAACATTACATTTGTAGTCAATATCCTCACAACTTTTTGCTCCCAACAGCCTTAAAGCGTCAGTTAGTTAACTTGTGAGTGTAGGCAAAAGACCACCCCCCCCACCCCTCTTAACCTACTAACCTCTATTTATATTCCCACATTGCTTCACATTCTCCTCATTCAACTTCCTCTTAGTTCTTCACATTTTGTCTACATTTTCTTTCAAACCCTAAACATAAATGTAATTACCTTCTTCTCCTCTCACTTTTTTCTTATGTTATGAATATGCGTTAACATGGACTAGTGATTCTTGAATACACAAGAAAAATTATAAAATACTCACAACTTTTTTATGCAGGAAAATGGCTATAATTGGAATTGTTCTTGCTGGTTTTCTTCTGATGGTGTCATCTGTTCATGGCTATGGAGAGTGGATTAATGCTCATGCCACCTTCTATGGTGGTAGTGATGCCTCTGGAACAATGGGTACGCTCAGCCATGTTCTTTTTTGAATTCCTTTTTGGACATACTTTTCAACTTCATATTGGATTTGAACATAACAAAATTCTGGGTTTGGCAGGTGGAGCATGTGGTTATGGAAATCTGTACAGCCAAGGCTATGGTACAAACACTGCAGCACTGAGTACAGCTCTGTTCAATAGTGGACTGAGCTGTGGATCATGCTATGAAATTAAGTGTGTGAATGATGGAAAATGGTGCCTGCCAGGGTCCATTGTGGTCACAGCCACCAATTTCTGCCCACCAAACAATGCCCTCCCAAATAATGCAGGGGGTTGGTGCAACCCTCCCCTGCATCACTTTGATCTCTCCCAGCCTATCTTTCAACACATTGCACAATACAGAGCTGGAATTGTCCCTGTTGCTTACAGAAGGTATGCTTAATCTGTGCCTATTTAGCCTTTAATATAGGTTCGTATAAGAGCCTAATTGTACTTTACACTTTTCCTTCATAAGATACAGAAGTAGTGTGAAAAATCTTGTATTCTCTTTCGTCACAATAAGGACAAGTAGACAGCAGCTATAAATTTGTGCATTCACTTTGCAGGTTTATTATTTTGTTTTGTTTATATTTTGTGTTGAAATTTAGGGAAGCCCACCTATGTTTCGGTCACAACATAAGAAACATATTAATTTTCTGTTTGTAGTCTATATAATTCATGCTTCTTGTCAGTTTTTGCATTCAAGTAAATAGGACCCTCAATTTTTCTGCTTAAGGTCCCCCACCAGTGTATTAATAATATTTACTGCAATAATTTCTTGTTGGTGCCTTAGTTTTTTGGACTATGTGGGGTCTAATTATACTATACACTTATTTTCTCAACCACATATTTATACGTGCAACTTGGGTTCAAGGGCATATCAAGTATCCAATCCATGTATTAAATTGTCATGATTTTTAGAGAGGTGGTTCGATGGTGCAAGGGAGATGTTTGTGATAGTGAAAACCTGTAGTAACAGGATGATGTTACATGTACACTTTTGATTATACATAAAGTTTTACACCTCCTCACATAAAGAGAGTACAAGTAGACTAATCCATAGTAGCAAGTGGATTAGCTTTCTTTTTCAAGGGTCAGCCACCATAAATCTAAGTGCTTTGCCTGTTTTGTGATAGGGATGACCATATTGGGACTTGACCCATAACTTATTTTTAGTATAATTACTCTTTCAATGTCAAATTAGTACACATCACGCTTTTATTTATGAAACTAAACTGTTTTCACTTTAATTTGTAGGGTACCCTGCAGGAGAAGGGGTGGTGTCAGGTTCACCATTAATGGTCACTCCTACTTCAATTTAGTACTCATAACCAATGTTGGTGGTGCTGGTGATGTTCATGCAGTGTCAATCAAAGGGTCAAGGACCGGTTGGCAGCCAATGTCAAGGAACTGGGGTCAAAATTGGCAAAGCAACTCCTATCTTAACGGTCAAAGCCTCTCATTTAAAGTCATCGCCAGTGATGGTAGAAGTATAGTGTCCTTCAATGTTGTCCCACCTAACTGGTCTTTTGGACAGACTTTTACTGGAGGGCAATTCAACTAAACAGAGTGTTAGACAATAGTCGATAGTATTATTTTACTGTCTTGAAAGTGTTATATTTAGTAATATGTAATAGGTGTTTGATTTTAACTAATATGGTCACTAGTATTAGTATTGTGACCTGAGAAGGGCATATTTGAAAATGTCATTCTTTTTATTTTGCCTTTTTATCCCTGTCCTGCAAAAGGCAGAAAATAGCAGAGGTGGATATGGTACCACCCGCCATCCAATTGAAGACATGTATTATGAAGATTGTTTCACTTTATGGTTGGATTTGTACTACAGAAAGATGTAAATTTAATTTCACTAGTAATGGAATGGAGTGCCTATTTATATTTACCATTTGTTTTCTCACTTTTCTCCGTTTGATATTTTAATTACGCGCTTGGCATCCACAAGAATCTCTTGTTTATTCATAATGAATCGAATGGGGTCACGAAAAATAAATTATGGTCAGAATTCACATTAATATTAAAGTTACTTGTAGATTTTGTACTAGTATTTAATAATGATGGCGGAATAAAACTTATGCTCATTTCATGTTAATATAAATGGTACACATAGGTTTTGTAATAGAATAATACTATTCATAGTCAATGCCTGTTAATAATTATCATATGTAACATCTTGTTATTTGAAGCATGAAATTTGTTTTCAATTAATGATTCAAATAACAATCTACCAAATGGAATGATTATTGACAGTCGTTGAGTATGAACAACATTACTTTTTATACTAGTATTTATTAATGATGTGCTAAGAACCATCAGTTTTCAATTCACAAAGCTAAGCCAACTTTGTGTGAGAGCAATAAAGGAGCTAATGTGCCCCCCGAAACATAGCCTAGTGGTACAAAGGACAGGAGTGATGTTATCTCACGTCTTGCTAGCAGACGCAGTGTGGGGGTTCGATTTCTGAAACATGAAATCGAACTCCTTGTAAGCGCAGTGTACAGATAACTCTTGTTCCCTGGCCTATTGGGACACATCCTGCGATTTACCTCCCTCACAAAGCTCTAGGGGTGGGGCGGTGAGGGTCCTCAAGTTGGTTAAACCTTTTTTTTTTTTTTTAAATAAAGGAGCTAATGTAAAGTTCTGATTAGTTCCCACTCCTAAATCCTAATAGAAAAACATCATTGGTGCTAAAATAACACGTTATGTAGCAATACATGTAGGTCCAATTAAATGGATCTTAAACACTACATTTAATTGAAATTATCGTTTAATACCACATACATGATGGTATTTTAGCACACTAATACTACGTAGCATTACTCAATAGAAATGAATACTGGGTGCACATGGGATTGGGAAATGTTTGAAGTTTACAATGCAAAGGGAGGTTGCTATGAGTACGCATGGATCTCTAATTACTCGATTTTTCATACATTGAAATAGTATGTGTGGCGTTATATTGAAATTCACAACCATAGACATGACTATATCAAATGAATCATAAAGACCCATTTTGATCGGGTGTTGAGCAGATCGATGATATAGACCACGATCATAACGAGAGGTCTGACTCATAAGAGGTCAGATTAGACTAAAAAGCTTATAAATCTAATAAATCTTGTTATGTACTAGTACACTTGGCCGAACCACTGGAGCTCGTGGCCTACCTGAGCCAAACTACGTGGCATGGTGGTCGAGGCCCTAAGGCCAATGAAAAGTATACAACATCAAGGTGCTTGAAAATCGAAGTACATTTGTCAAGGTGGTCTCGACTGAGGCACTCTACGTCGAAGTCCCTACGCCAAAGCACCTTTGCCATCACCTCTCCCAAGAGATCCGATCATACACAAGAATCCTTTTTTGAGTGTTTGATGAGATGCTCATCATAGAATGCTAATGTCTTGTCTTGTCAAACATAACAGCGGCTCTGTAAATTAATAAATGTATAGCAGGCTAGGTAGTCAAATGTGATGCCTTGGATTGAATATGTAAACTAACAGAATGAAGCCAAGTATATCCTCAACTAAGGGTCGTGATTTAACTTGTATTACTATAAATACTCCTCCATGCACCCATTGTAAAGTTAGTGCAAGATCCAATACAAGAACAACTACTACACATTTTACTTTCTTGAAATACAACCGTGTTTACATACAAGTTCAACAAACCGTGATTGGTAATTATTGTACAATCATTCTACAAAAGTATCGTCGAATTCTGAACGTTTTCGTCCCACGCGTTTGAGCTACTCCTACGCCCCTTATTAGATCCTTCGTGTGTCTTAGCGTGTTGGACTTTTGCCTACTTGTGCTCGAGTGGGTCCGGTATCTGTTGTCCAAGTGACCCTAACCGAAAACAAGGTCAACAGATTGGCGTCGTATGTGAAAAATCACACCATATCACGAGCAACCGTGTGGTGAGAGCTTGCTATAAACTAAATTTTTGGGCATCCTCCTTGAAAAAAGGATTTGTTCTTGAAAAAGAACGAGAAGAAGTCCTACAACTTGAAAAAAAAATCTTGAGTTGAAAATTAAGGAAAAATGAGTTCAGACGAAGATGTGCCCCCAGAGGGTGAGAGAGAACATCGGCACGGCCCCACCAGCGACAACCCCTGTTGGTCGTTGTCGACCTCACCACCACCACCACCACCACCACCACCACCACCACAGAAGGGATGGAATGTTAATGGCTGCACAGCTTACCAGAGAGGTAGCCGCCATGTCAGCTAATATGAGAAATATCACCAACCAGAACTTAGCCATGCAGGAGTTATTGATGCAAATGCAGGGCCAGGGTGGCTATCCTATGCTTTCATATGCGCTTCAAAGATAATACCCACAAGAGAATGAAGTCCAAAGCCAATAGGCTGCATCTCCCATGCATAGCAGGGGAGGGAGGCCCATGGAAAGAGAATTGGAGGTTGATATTTCATCCAACTATACTACAGGCCGACCCATCGAGGTCCCGTACAAAATGGAAGACAACTTCCCACCCGCATATGAGCTGGAACAAAGGCTTAGGAAATCAAGGAGCGTATTTAATAGAATCAGTCCAGCGAGTCGAGGCAGCAACAATAGCCTAGTGAGCCTCGGGCGAGGCCATAGCCCGCACCTCCCATGACTCAACAGTCGGAGAAGAGCAATGAAAATTCCCCCCGTGTTGCCCCGCCTAGAAATAGGCGCAAAAGGATGGAAGAGGAGGCTAGGAACCAAGTCGGTCTCTCTCATCCGCCTCCTAGATATGAGGCCGATGAGAACAATGACTCAGATAAGCAGCAGAGGTCCTGGGACTTGAACAATAACAATGAGAATCTACCATTCTTACGAGAGTTGAAAAATGCCCAATTGCCAAGCCATTATGTCATGCCTAAGATACCAAAGTACGATGGGAGAGGTGACTCAAAGAAACATTTGAATGCCTATAAGACCCACATAAGCCTAAGAAGTGCCACTCCGGCAGTAAAGTGCAAAGCTTTCCACTTGACACTTAGTGGAGCAGCTTAAATCTAGTATAGCAAGTTACCACTTGAGAGCATAAGAAGCTGGCCAGAATTTAAGACCATTTTGTTGAAGAGATTCGATGTGAGCAAGGAGGCGGAGGCCCTATCCAGCATCTCCAGGACATGAGACAAGCACCTGAAGAGTCTCTAAAAAGTTTCTTGTCGCGCTTTATCGATGAAATGACATGTTGCATACAAGTGATCGACCATGAAGCCCTGTCAGCACTGAGAGGAGGCTTAAATATGAACACCTTATTTTGGAGGGATGTGCAAAACTAGGATCCCACCATTTACGACGCCCTGCTTGAAATGATGAGATAGGAGATAATCAACGAATAATTGATTGAGCATAAAAACAGGGCAGCAGGGGTCTCCTACCTCAATAAAGGTAACAGAAGAGAAGACTGAACTCTCACCTGATGGATGACCAGATGAATTCGACTGGTAATGAAAACTCCGGGCAAACACTTGTAGCCACCACTTTGTACACGGTACGAACCTTGGCTTATGAGGATGTGGCACCAGCCACAAACACACAAGCTGAACCTTCTCAGCAGGCCAGTCGTAAAGGGAAGAGGCCGTGGGCGAGGCTAGGGGGTCTAGACCCAGGCAAAATTTGAGCCCTCAACAGTTCGTTCACCACTTGTACTCACTGACACTGTTGATTGTCGGGACATTACGCGACACCCCTGAAGAGTGAGTCCAATGGGTGAGAAAATAGATGATTCACCCACAGCAAATAAGCCCCCACCTAGGTATGACTAGTGGCCTAGGCGTGAGGAGGCTGCTCCCCGTCAGAGGATTGTACTCCCTACAAGAGAAGGAACAAAATGCGAAAAGACCTAGAGAATGGCGCAGACGAAGCAGGGGTAATCGAGCTCAGGAGGAGGCCCCAATACATGAGGTTGACACCATATTCGAGGGGCCCTACGTAGGTGGTGAAACACGAAACTTACAAAGGAACTATGCCCAAGAAGCCAAGCACTCCTCATCGACAAGTTATATTGTGGACAGCAGCTTCCAAAGAAATCAAGTACCACCCACTGTCTTTACCCAGGAAGACATAGAAGGAGTTCATTTATCCCATTGTGAGCACTTGTTGTGGCCCAGAATGGGCTTAAACGGATGCTAGTCGACAATGATAGCTCTGCAAACATTTTATTTGGATCCGCCTTCGACAAGATAATCTTGGACCACGAGTTGATCCATACCACCAATCCCTTATATAGATTTACCGGAGATAGCATCACTCTGAGAGGAAAGATCACGCTCGCGGTAGAAATGGGGGAATCCCCTTAAACTACCTTGAACTTCATGGAATTCTTTATTGTGGATAACTGGTCGGCTTATCATGGGTTGCTAGGAAGATCTGTCCTAAAAAAATTGGGTGTTGTTACCTTTATTCACCACCTATGCATGAAGTTTCCAATCGAAAATGATCGATGCTCCTACCGAAAGGGAAGAACCACTCATAATTGACGAGATCTGTCCCCGTGTGGCTGAGTATAAACCTCAGACAGCCCCATAGAGGAGCTGGAAAGTTTATCAGTGGACCTCCTGGATCCCGACAAAGTGTTGAAAGTGAGTAAATGCCTATCTACTGACTTGAAAGAGAAACTCAAAGACTTCCTAAGGAGGAACCTTGACGTCTTTGGATGGAAGTATGAGGATATGGTGGGCATTGACCCAAAGGTCAGTTGCCACCACTTTAAAATCAATCCTAAGGTTATCCCGCATAGGCAAAAGGGAAGGGCCCTCAACCCAAAAAGATATAAGGCCCTGAAGGGAAAAGTACAGAAGCTAATCAAGAATGGCTTCATCAGAGAGGCCATCTACCCAAAGCGGGTCTCTAACCCGGTGCTAATCAAGAAGCAAAATGGTAAATG